AGGGCCCACGGTGGCCTGAGGGGCTGGGCCTCGGATGGGGGAAATGCCGGCCAGGGGACACGGGGATTGCTGAGGACCAGCCTCCCCGCGGGCTGGTGGCTTCAGGGAGGCTGAGCCTGGGAGGGAACTGGGCGGGGCGGGCAGCGTGGGGCTTCCTGGAGGGGCAGAGGAAGTCGTGCCCATTTCTGGAAGTAGATGAGGCCGCCTGGGAGGGGAGTGGAAATGGCCTGCAGGGAGCTGGTGTCCGGGCTGAAGGTCTTCTGGGGGCCTGACTCCAACCCCTGGGCGACGGGACTCAGACTCGGTGTTGACCCAGACCCAATCCTTGGGACTTTAGGTGGAGTTCAGCAATGCCCCCTAGTGCCCAGTCTGGGGGGTCTGTGATGCCACTGCCTTAGATTTTCTGAAGGTCTGCCCAGTGGTTCAAGGGTCCCCTACTGTGGAGTCAGCAGTGCCCTCGGTTTACAAAACCCTGGGGGCCTGTTCCTGATGTCTCCTGGTACCAAACTGGACAATCCGCGATACCTACTGATGCAGACAGCCAACCCACCTGTCAGTGATTCTCCCCATCTGCTTGGCCAGCGATGCCCCCCTCTCCCCAGAGCCTCTGAGTGCAGTTGCAGAGGTAGTGCCCTGCACATAGGCTCCATATTTAAGGGACTGCCACAAATGTCTTGGGTACCATACATTTACATATTTATTATGACAGTTTCCTAGCAGATGGGAGTCAAGTGCCTTGGGGAAGGGGCACATCTTTTGTACAGAAGCACCTTATGGGCTAGATCAGCTCTGGTCCCATTCCCTGGGCGCCCTCAGGTTTATGAGCATCCCCTGCGGGAGGATCTGCCCCACTCTCCCCATATCTGATCCCCGGATGATTGTACAGACTCCCTGACTTTCGGGTGTGCACCTCCGCCCTCAGGCTCAACCCCAGGAGGCCACACCACCTCAGCCAGCAGATTCCAGGGCCCACACCATTCCTCGCTGAGCTGCCAGCCCTGGCGCCGTTGCTGCCTTTCACAGAGCCTCTGTGTGTTCCCACTACAACACTCCCCAGGCCAGCTCCCCTCCTTGGACATTCACCGGGACCCCCATCATACACGCATTTCTTTTCTGTCCTTGGTCTATTTCCACCCTCCCTTCTTTCCTTCTCTCATTCAGCGAAAATTTATGAGTACCTACTATGTGCCTGTCCCTATCTAAAAGGAAAATCTGACCACATCTTTCCCCTGCTCCAGGCCCTCAGAATTTATCCCAGTCCTCTGGCATCTGACACCTGCACCTTCCAAGGCTCACCTTCTACCCCAGTCCAATTCACCCATTCAATGAATATTTGCTTAGCATCTGGGATGTGCAGTCCCGGCACGGAAATCTAATGATGCTTAGTCAGTGCTTAGTGGTGCAAAGGCCGTGGAACAGTGGTTGTGTTGAGAGCCAGACCAACTGTGTTTGAACCTCAGCTTTGCCATTCTGTGGCTTGTGACCCTAGGCAAAGTATTGAACTTCTCTGGGCTTCAGGGTCCTCATCTCTAAGCTGGAACAGTAACAGTACCCATCTCAAACAGCTGTTGATCTGAAGCAAGAGTGTTCTAGGAAGAGGGAACTGCATGTTACAAGAGTTACCTATAACCTTTTCAGGGACCTGTATGCTGCTGGGTTTGACTGGAATGAGGGGGAAAGTGATGGGGCTGGACAGGTGGGCAGGAGCCAGGGCACACAGGCACTGGGTGAGGGACTCCACTCTGAAGGAAGTAGGGTAAAGGGATCTAGAAGTAAAGGGATCTCTGGCTGCCATGTGCATGTGGTGGTGGTGAGATGAGACTGGAAGCCAGGAGCCCAGCGGGGATGCCAGGAGCAGCCATAGGGAGAGGAGGGAGCAGGTGATAAACTGTGATTAAGGAGGAGCCTAGGATGAGACCTAGGTCTCTAGCTAGGGGACTGGGGGATGCAGGGCCACCCTGGAATGATGACCAGGAGGAGAAGCAGGTCTGCGGTTGACACCAAGACCAGAGAGGGACATGGAGATTCAAGGCATCCATGCAGCTGGGCCCTGGGATTGGAGCTCTGCTGAGAGGGCCAGGGCAGGAGCAGGCATTAAGGATGGAGGTGAGGGAGATGGCAGTTTCCTTTGGCTGCACCAGGTGGGACCTGGCTCCTGCTCCACTCAGATTGGGTGGGGAGAGGGTGGTCCCTGAACAGAAGCTTCCGCCTCCTTCCCCAGCCCTGCAGGATGTCCTGTGTTTACTGATGTGGCCTTAGCCAGAACCCGGACACTGGTGCCAATCTCTAAACTCAACTTCCCATGGCCACACCCTTGGGGGGGGGGAAGGAGGGGGGAAGCAAGAGACACAGAGAAAGAGAGAGACAGAGATAATGAGACAAAGAGATACAGAGAGAGACAGAGCCAAGGAATGAAAACAGACACAGAGGGAGAAACAGAGACACAGAGGAGAACACAGAGAGACATACCATTTGTGACAAAAACCACTGTAAACTGGGGAAGGTTTCCTTCACCTGCTAAAGGGCAGCTACAGAAAGCTGACAGCTAACAGCTTACTTAATGGCGAAAGACTGAATGCTTGATACCCTGCGATGGGAACGAGCAAGGCTATGTGCCCTCTGGGACGGGGAGAAACGGAACAGCATGCACCAGACTCCCTTGTCTGTCTGATCGATCCTGAGCAGACAGGGTGGATTTTCTTCCTGACTTCAGCCTGGCCTATATTCAGATTCCACCCTCAACTACTTTAAACTCAGCTTTGACTTTGTCCCTTCTGTAGGAACCCAGGGCTCTCAGAATAAAATTTCAGCTCCTCCTCATGACTCTGCTGACCATGGACCTCTCCTCAGCTTCCCCTCACACTCTCACATTCACCTATTTCTCAAAGGAGCCATTTGTACACAGGCTGTTCCATCTACCTGAAACCCACTCACATTTATCTACCACCCTCAGCTTTTGCCTGAATTGCTATGTATCCTTCAGGTGCTAGCTCAAATGTCACTTCCTCCTGGAAGCCCTCCCTGCCCATTCTAATAGTACTAGTGCGCCAGGCCCCTCATATAGGCTTAGATCTGTCTTTTA